TGGCCAGAGCTGTGTCAATCCAAAGCCAGGAGCTTCCTCCGGGTCTCCCACAGGGGTGCAGGGGCCCAAGCACTTGGGCCATCTTCCACTGTTTTCCCAGGCCACAGCAAAGAACATGTATTCTGGTGTAACAGGTACAGCCTATGCCAGCAATGCCAGGATCCCTTATGGGCACCAGCTCAAGTCCCAGCTGCTCTAGTTCCAATCCAGCTCCCTGCTAAAGGCCTGAGAAAAGCAGCAGAACATGGCCCAATTGTCTGGGCCCCTGTTATCCATGGGGGAGACCTGGATGAAGCTCCAGGCTGGGGGCCACCCCGGTTCACTTCCCAAATGCCTCCAACAGCTAGGGCTGAACCAAGTATGCATTAAATGAAAACTAATTAAACCTTCAACAGCCTTTTTTTTTTTTTAAATCATTTGTTTGGGAGCTATTATTCAGTTTTTTTTTTTTAAGATTTACTTATTTATTTGAAAGAGTTACACAGAGAGAGGAGTCTTCCAGCTGCTGGTTCACTCCTCAATTGGCCGCCTTTGGGTCTTCCCATGAGGGCACAGGGACCCAAGGACTTGGGCCATTTTCTACTGCCTTTCCAGGCCACGGCAGAGAGCTGGATCAGAAGTGGAGCAGTGCAGTCTTGAAACCAGTGCCCATATAGGATGCTGACACTGCAGGTGGCGGCTTTACTCACTATGGTACAGCGGCAGCCTCCCTTCAACAGTCTTAAAATCACTATTTAGAAGGCAGTAACACTAGGAGTATAACTGCTTTCACCAAGAGAAACCATTGGTCATATAAACATTTTTCTTATTGTTTAAAAAGATCTATTTATTAGGGCCGGCGGAGTGGTTCAGCAGGTTAATCCACCATCTGCAGCACTGGGCATCTCACATGGGTGCTAGTTCAAGTGCAGGTGCTTGAGTCTCCGCACACATGTGGGAGACAGGAAGAAGCTGCAGGCTCCTGGCTTTGGTCTGGCCCAGCCCTGGCCATTGTGGTCATTTGGGGAGTGAACCAGCAGATGGAAGATCTCTCTCTCTAACTCTGTCTATAAATAAATAATAATCTGTATTTATTTATTTGAAAGGCAGAGAGACAGAGACAGATCTTCCATCCACTGATTCACTCTCCAGATGGCCAGGAACAGTAAGCACCTGGGCCAGGCTAAAGGGAGAAGCCAGGTCTCCCATGTGGGTGGCACGAGCCCAACCATCTTCCACTGCTTTTTCCAGGTCATTGGAAGGGAGCTGGACTGGAAGCAGAACAGCCCAGTCATGAACCAGTGCCCATATGGGACGCCACCACTGCAGGTGGCAGATTAACCCACAATGAAACAACAGCGGCTCCACCAATATTTTCTTTAAAGCCAATGACTGATTAAATAATTAAGTGGGGGGATTAGGAGGAGAGAGAGGAACACGAGCAAGTGAGCACTGCATCCACTGGCTCATTCCCCACATATGCACAACAGCCTGGCTGGCTGGGGCTCAAGGTGGAAGCCTAAAACTCAATCCAGTTCCCCCACGTGAGAGGCAATCATTTAAGCCATCATTGCTTCCTCTCAGGGTGTGTATTAGCAGGAAGCTGTAATCTGGAGCTGGAGTCAGGTGTAAAACCCAGGTACTCTGACGTTGGAAATGAGCCTCTTAAACACTAGGCCAGCCAGCGCCGGCACTCCGGGTTCTAGTCCTGGTCGGGGCGCCAGATTCTGTCCCGGTTGCTCCTCCTCCAGTCCAGCTCTCTGCTGTGGCCTGGGAGGGCAGTGGAGGATGGCCCAAGTGCCTGGGTCCTGCACCCGCATGGGAGACCAGGAGAAGCACCTGGCTCCTGGCTTCGGATCAGCACGGTGCGCCAGCCACAGTGCTGCAGTGGTCATTGGAGGGTGAACCAACGGTAAAGGAAGACCTTTCTCTTACTGTCCACTCTGCCTGTCAAAACAAACAAACAAACAAACAAACAAAAAACACTAGGCCAAACAACCTTATCACCCACACAAATTTAGTAGTGAAAAGACAACTTGTACTGAAGATACCAAGTCATCTTCAAATTAATCTAGTTTAGATTAATATAGAGGTGAAATAGGCACAAGCATTTGGCACAGTGGCTAAGATACCAACTGGGACACCCATATACCACCTGGTTTAAGTTTCAGCTCCTCTGCTTCCAATCCAGCTTCCTGCTAATACACACCCTACGACAGAGCAGTGATGTCCCAAATACTTGGGTCCTGGTATTCCACATGGAAGACCCTGACTGAATGCTAAGTTCTAGGCTTTGGCCTGGCCCAGCTCTGGCGCCTGTGGGCATTTGGAGTGAACCAGTAAATGAGTGCTCTCTCTGCCTCTCAATGGGTGAATAAAAAGTGGGGTGGAAGTGACATCCACCAAAAATGATCTATTCTATGGAAACCTTTACATAATACCTAGCTATAAATATTTCCATCTTTCTGAATCTCAAACCTGAAATCATGGACACAACAATGGAGATCTAAGTCAATTAACGTCACAACTATGTTCCACAAAGACATGGAAAAACCATGAACACGGAGTCCATGAAGCATCAGCCCTCTCACCTTGGCACCCTCTATTACCTTCTATAGTCTGAAAAACCCCCACTACTTGCAGGCTCCATCTCCTGCTGCTCCTACCCATTCATACCTTTCTTTCCAACTCAACTCAAAGCTCCTTGACAATACAAGGACACTTCAAAAAAATTCATGGGGTCAGCACTGTGGCACAACAGGTTAAAGCCCCGGCCTTGCAGCACCAGCATCATATGGGCACCAGTTTGAGTCCCAGCTGCTCTACTTCTGATGCAGCTCTCTGCTATGCCCTGGGAAAGCAATGGAAGATGGCTCAAGTGCTTGGGATCCTGAACTCACATGGGAGACCCTGAAGCTCCTGGCTCCTGGCTTCGGACTGGTTCAGCTCCAGCTGTTGCAGCCATTTGGGGAGTGAACCAGTGGATGGAAGAGCTCTCCTTCTCTGTAAATCTTTCAAATAAAATAAATTTAAAAAAAGTTTATAGAGAAAAGAATTATAAGTTTATTTGGATGCAAAAGTTTTGCCATCCATGCAGTTTTTTCGTAATAGGCATCTTTCATGAACTTTCTGAACTATCAACCTTACATCACTATTTTTTGCTGCTTTTCATGCTCCCATAAACATATGCAATCTTGGATATTCAATAAGTGCTAAAATTTTAAACACAAAGAACTAATTTCAGATGAAACTGCATAATCTCCAAAGCCCCCAGAATACATTTTAATTCCTTCTTCTATAGACAGGAAATCAAGGACTATCTGAGTGTCTGCCCCGAAGTTAACCAAAATCACTCACTTAGGAGCAGGAAGAGGACCAACTCCCAACTGCTGGTCTTCCAACTACATCCCCGTCTCCCTTCTCAGTGTTTTCTTCACAAATGACTAGTCATCCAATCACTGACTCAAAGTGCAGTCCGTAAAGTTCTGAATCTGCAGTCAGTCAAGTCATCATTTATATTAAGCTAGAAATTAAGACCTGGCAATACACATTAAGTAATTTTCAAAGTCCTATTTCTAAATCTTTAAAAAGTAAAGACTAGCCTCATATGATCTGAGAGAATTTCAAGTCAAGAAACTGGAGATTCAACACACTGGAGCCGTAGGATCCAGCTCCAGCAGATGATGTGCTTGCCCCACTATTAGTGCTCTGTTCAGGCTCGGGGAGAAATAAATCTAACTTAAATTCCAATAGTTTACAGCATGATTTGTCTGGAAACCTCCACTACATGAACCTAATGTTCACATGGAACCACAAACAAGTCAGCGTTAACAGTTCTCCAAAAACTCTTTTCACTAACACACAATGCTGGCAGTACTCCACAATTCTGTGCTAAAATGAAATGCTGTTAATTGTGCAAAGGGTAAATTTAATATGTTCGTAAGGAGATCAGTATTTTGTGTACTGTGGGAAACTTAACAAAAATTAAAAATTACGTACAGCTAATGGATACTCCGTTTCCCCAATCCCTGGGGAAAACCAAAACAGATTTTGGTAACAGAAAACACAAAATTCAATGTTATTTCGTGGACAATATTCCACTCCCAACGCTTTACGATATTTCAACCTGAAGCGCAACGTCTGGGATAAAGTGCTCACTAGCAAGTATTACTACCATTTGCAGCCCAAAACGGACAAGCATGGAACTTTTTCAACGAAGAGAGCACAAAATTCGCCGCGTTTCCAGGTTACGTTGCTCATTTTTAAAAACAAATGGCAAAACGCCAAGTATGTTAGGCTCAAGAGAAGGGTTCCTCACTGCCCGGCTTGAGTCAGCATATAAATCATAGGTTACACTGACTGGATTTCCAACCCAGAAGCTCCTTATGTAGTATGACTCACCGAATTCCCCATTTCTTCCAACTCTGAGAAAGAAGTTATACTCTGTCCCCTTAGAACTACCATGACCTTCGCAGAAATTAGGTTACAGGCTTTTTTTTAAAAAAATGCTTAAAGACACTCCTCCAAGAGGTCTCCGGGGGCAGAGCCTGGGCCGGGTGGACACTATCCCTCCCCCGGGTGGCGGTCACGCCGGGGCCTCAGGCCCTCAAGCCTGCTTCTGGGGGCTGCTGCGGGCAGCGCGGGCTCCGAGACGCCCCTCAGCGCACCACAGAGGCCCACTCCCACTCCCGGGCCACGCACCCCAGCCCGCCGACCCGGGGGCCCCAAGCCGTCCCCGGGCCTGGCCACGGGGTCTCCGCTCCTCCTGCCACCCCGCCTGGAGCCCGGGCCCGCAGGCTCCCAAGACCCGGCGTCGGGTGAACGGCGCCATTTTAGGCGGCGACGACAGCCAATCCGTGCGCGGGAGGCAGGGGGCGTCGGGTCGTCCGGGAGCCGCCGCCGGCCAGGCCAGGCCGGGCGCCGGTCGGGGAGGCTCGGCCCGGCCGGCGGCCTCCGCCATGTTGCACCCTCCTCACGGACACCGCCTCCTCGGCGGCCCCGGCAGGCCGGGCGCAGCTCACCTTCTCGCAGAGGCTCTTGACCTGGGACTCGGACAGCTGCTTGCACTCGTTCAGCTGCTCGATCCACTGGTCCAGCTCCTTGGTGAACACCTTCTCGTCCATGATGCCACCCGCCCCAACCGGCTGCCGCTCTGCGCTGCTCCCGCGCCGCCGCCCGCACACGGGCCACACGCACACGCCGCCGCCGGCTCCCGGGGGGTACTTCCTTGGCCGCTGGCGGTCGCTCGGCGCCGGCGCTGGCCGCTGGCTCTCCCCGCAGTGCTCGGCCGCCGGCCGCTGCGCCTCCTCCGCTCGCCCTAGCTCCGGAGCTCGCCTCTGTAATGGCGGCTGCCCGGCGTGGTGACGTCACGCGGCGTCAGGAGGCGGCGGGCAGCCGACGGAGAAAGAGCCCGGACGCAAGCTGCGCAGCCACACGGCGGACCCGGGTCGGGCGCACGGCCGGAGAGGGGGCGCAAACGAGGGGCCACAGCGCAGGCGCGATGTAGCCGGCTGGAGACCGAGGCGCCTTCGCGTTTAGGGCGTGGTCTCTTAGAAAGGAGAGGCCTGGGGGTTGGGGGTGGGGGGGAAGACCCGAGTCCGAGCATGCGCAGTGCCCGCAGCGGCGAACGGGCTCGGCCCGGAGCACTACGCCCCGAGAGGCGCGAGCGCGGGCCCGGCGCAGGCGCAGTCGGGGACGCGGGGGTGTGGGGGTCTCCCGTCAGCCGGAAACGTGTTTCCTTGGGAAGGCCTCTGGGGTGCTGCTTGGCAGCCAGGTCACGGAGGCGAGAGTCGCGACCCCATGGCTTCTCCAGGGTGCAGGAGCGCGGGAATTGCGTGGGACTCCCGCATCTGTGGGAGCAGGAATGGGCGCGGCCGGCACCGTGTAATTAGGTCGGTCGTGGGCGGGGGAGGTACACCTGTCGCGTGGAGCCGCGCAGGGCACCTGACTCCCAGCACACGTCTGTCCTCGGGCCTGGGCGTCTCTGACGGCGGGCCCCGGGTCCTTGGCCCCCTCGACCTCGCTCATCGTCGCCTTGCGCTCCCGGTGTGCGTGCACCTTCCTCCTGGTCCGAGAGCCCTGGCCGCGTGCCGGCCACGATCCTAGAAATGAAAGCGCAGACACCCTGCGATCCGACCGGCCTTGCCCTGGTCCTGAATGCCTCCGGGGTTCGCGCAACCTCGCATCCCGTTTCCCCTACATTTGCAGAAATACTGGGCTCCTTGCAGGGCCAACTGTGTGCCACACGCAGGGCCTGGGGTATGAAGGGGTCGTCCGAACAGGTACGGGGCCCTAACTTCATGACGGAGCCCATGGTGCTGCCTGAAAATTGTTGGGAATAGCGATTATGATGACTCCAGGAAAAGCTTTACCAAGGACAGTTAGCCGTGAAGGACAAGGCAAGAGCTGGTTCTGGTCGCCTTCAACCCTGCCACTCCCAAGCGCCCTGACTTACCCAGGAGTGCATCGCCAGCAGCCGGTGGCGGAACTGAAGAGCCTTCGTCCAAGACAACCTGCTGGGCGAGGCCCACTGGCCCGGCCTTCCCCACTAGTGCCTCCCACTAGTGTGCCCAGAAGAAAGCCCCTCGACTCCTCCCCAGACTGTAAAAAGACCTTTAGCCTAAATGCTGAGGCTGTTTTGCAGTGAAAGTCCTCGAACAACACAGGAGAAAGAGTTGGGACCGTGTGGAGTGAGTGGGGAAAAGCCCAGCACTGGGTGTCCAGGGTCCTGAAGCCGAGCCGGGTGTGCCTGCCTGCTCTTTACCACGTTGTCATGGACCTGACAGCTGGGCAAGAAGCAGACCCTCACACCAGAGAAGGGACTGGCCCAAGTGGTCAGGATTTCAGTGCGCTGTCCCAGCCACACTCATACAGCCGACCCTCCAGGCCTGCAGTATGGAACACGGTCAGAGTCGTTTCTCTGCCTGAGTTCTCCACCTGCAGAGTAGATAGTGACGTCAGTCTGGAGAAGTGCCCAACGCCCACTGTGTGCTAGGATTATAATGAATACGTTTGTCCGAAGTACTGTGCGCTCCCTGTAACTTATTTTCTCTTGACATAAGACTGCTTGGCTCACCACCATCAGAAAATGGAGGGAAGATATAATTATATGTCCTCCTGCCAAATCATTAGATGCCATGACTTCCTAAGGAAGGAATTCTTGGAAGCTCCTGTTAGCACTCGGTCAAGGAGAGTGCGCATCATCATGAGCAATACGGGACCACACTGGTCAGAATACGTTTTCCTTCCGAAGAAATCCACAATGTCTTCTCCGCCTGTGGAATCCAGTTCTGAAGATTCAGTTCGATGAATCTGGTCTTGACTACCTTGGCCTGACTGCCTCAAGTCTGCAGCTGAGGAATACTTGAAACAAAAATTGTAGAGCAAATAAAGAACTGTCCTTTTAATTTCTTGGCAAAAGCCAGAGAGTGAATAACACAAATATGCTGGGAGAGAGAATCTTTGCTCAGATGGCAGATTCAGTGAACAGCGAGGCTGAGTGCTGCCCATGATGTTTAAACATGGCTATAAATAAAAATCATCTGATGACGAGGGCGGGGTAAGGGAAGCATAACCTTGAGCAAAGAGCTTCATAATAGGCACTCTCAGCCAGGATATAAAAATTGACATTAAACATGGAGAAGGAATGCAGTGTATCGTATCTGCCAGCAGTTCTCTTGGCCTCACGTTAGGTTTATTTTGTCCCTGCTGTTCCATCTACTTTCCTCTCTTCTGCATGTACTGAGACGGAAAGCAGAGCAGTGTAACTAAGTCCGGAGTCAGGAGGACCTGGGTCTGAATTATCGTCCTGCAGCTGCCTAGCTATGTGAAGGTTCGCAAGTCCCTTAAATTTTATTTATTTTCTCATCTATAAAGTAGGAATCATTGTAATAACTGAATAATTATATTAGCCAGGATTTAAATAAAATTGTAAATGTGAAACATCCAAGGGTGGGCATTGTGGTACAGTGGGTTAAGCCACCACTCGGGATGCCCCCATCCCACATCAGAGTGTCAACTGGAGTCCCAGCTGCTTTGCTTCTGATCCAGCTCGCTGCTAAAGTGCCTAGGAAACAGCAGGTGGTGGCTTCAGGCTCAACCTTTAAGTCTCAGGATGGAGCTCCTGGCTCGTGGTTTCAGCCTGACCCAGACCCTGCTATAGTAATCATGTGGGGAAGGAACCAGCCGGTGGAAGATGTTCTCTCTCTCTCAAGTAAATGAATAAATCTCTTAAAGAAACATAAAACAGGCGCCAGCATTGTGGTTTAGCAGGTTAAGCCACCGCCTGCAATACGGGCATCCCACATGGGCACTGGTTTGAGTCCTGGCTGCTCCACTTCTGATCCAGCTCCCTGCTAATGCACCTGGGAAAGCAGTGGAAGATGGCCCAAGTCCTTGGCCTCCGGCACCCATGTGAGAGACCTGGAAGAAGCTCCTGGCACCTGGCTTCAGCCTGGCCCAGCAGCCAATGAGGGGGTTAGCCAGTGGACGAAAGACCTCTCTCTCTCTCTTTCTCTCTCTCTAACACTGGGAAGACCCCTCTTTGTCTCTGTAACTCCGCCTTTCAAATAAATAAATCTAAAAACATATAAAACACTCAGATGGTATATAATAAATGTGAAGTCTTAGACATTTTTTAAGATTTATTTATTTGAAAGGCAGAGTTACAGAAGGAGAGAGAGAGAGAGAGAGACAGAGAGAGATATGTCTTCCATCTGCTGGTCCACTCTCCAAATGGCCCCAACGGCTGGAGCTGCACCCATCTGAAGCCAGGAGCCAGGAGCTTCCTCCAGGTCTCCCAAGTGGGTTCAGGGGCCCAAGGACTTGGGCCATCTTCTACTGCTTTCCCAGGCCACAGCAGAGAGCTGGATCGGAAGTGGAGCAGCTGGGACTCAAACTGGTGCCCATATGAGATGCCAGCACTGCAGGTGGTGGCTTTACCCGCTGCACCACAGTGCCGGCCCCTAGACAATATTTTTATTGTTACAATTTCTCGATGTGAGCTCTGGTTTTAAATACCCTCTGCTGCCATTGGGAGTCTCGATGCCTGCTGTGAATTGCATGGTGCTGGGTGGAAGCAGAACTCAGGGAAATATTAAAATACCATAAAGATGAAGCCATGCAGCCAGTGGAGATGAAAGAAGAAATGAAGGGAAGTGAGGCAGACTCTCAGAGACTTGTGAGGAGACAGTCACTTAGGAATAAATCCAAGACTTAACACAGCCGGTCAGTCCCCTGCTCCTTCAGCTCAGAAGCCTACGTATGAATGGGGTTCCAAGACCTGAAAAGGAAAACACGCCCTTTGCACCCAGTTGTGCTGCGTCCCAGAAGCCCCCAAATAAAACCCTGAGTAGACAACGTCTTAGCAGCTCCCCCATGAAGAGCCTGCCGTGCTCCGGCCAACCTGCTCTGCCAAACTACCCTAAGATTTCCACACTCGGCCGGCGCCGCAGCTCAATAGGCTAATCCTCCACCTAGCGGCGCCGGCACACCGGGTTCTAGTCCCGGTCGGGGCGCCGGATTCTGTCCCGGTTGCCCCTCTTCCAGGCCAGCTCTCTGCTGTGGCCAGGGAAGTGCAGTGGAGGATGGCCCAGGTCCTTGGGCCCTGCACCCCATGGGAGACCAGGAGAAGCACTTGGCTCCTGCCTTTGGATCAGTGCAGTGCGCCGGCCACAGCGCGCTGGCTGCAGCGGCCATTGGAGGGTGAACCAACAGTAAAGGAAGACCTTTCTCTCTCTCTCTCACTGTCCACTCTGCCTGTCAAAACAAACAAACAAACAAACAAAAAACACTAGGCCAAACAACCTTATTACCCACACAACCTTATCACCCAGCAGTGGCGGCCATTGGAGGGTGAACCAACGGCAAAAGGAAGACCTTTCTCTCTGTCTCTCTCTGTCTCTCTCACTATCCACTCTTCCTGTCAAAAAAAAAAAAAAAAAAAAAAAAAAGATTTCCACACTCAACATAAACTACGATGCCTCCAGGCTGTGAAGCTTACGTTGCCCTTTCTCCTGAACCTGGAATTTTACAGAGGTGGCCAAAGTGTTGTAGCCAAGAACTTTGCCACACATATGATACGGCTCTTTCTTCCAGCTACTGCAGTTTGGCGAAAGAAACAGAGGGGAATGACCACGTGCCCTGGTGATGCCCTTGCTGTCCAGAGAGCGCTCTCAATTGCAGAAGGAGGTGTTTTTCTGTTACAGAAAAACAATCTGTGACATGCCAGGTGAAGTTCACCTCTCTAGAAGGCTGCAGCTAATAAAAACTCTATCGCATGGACCGGCGCCGTGGTGTGGCAGGTAAAGCCGCCACCTGCAGTGCCAGCATCCCATATGGGTGCCGGTTCAAGTCCTGGCTGCTTCGCTTCCAGTCCAGCTCCCTGCTATGGCCTGGGAAAGCAGTAAAAGATGGCCAATCTCCAGGAGACCAGGAAGATGCTCCTGGCTCCTGGCTTTGGATTGGCCCAGCTCTAGCTCTTGCAGCCATCTGGGGAGTGACCAGCAGATGGAAGACCTCTCTCTCTCTCTCACTCTGCCTCTCTGTAACTCTGCCTTTCAAATAAATAAATCTTATAAAAATTATATCACAGTGGCCGGCGCCGTGGCTCAATAGGCTAATCCTCCGCCTAGCGGCGCCGGCACACCGGGTTCTAGTCCCGGTTGGGGCGCCGGATTCTGTCCCGGTTGCCCCTCTTCCAGGCCAGCTCTCTGCTGTGGCCAGGGAGTGCAGTGGAGGATGGCCCAGGTGCTTGGGCCCTGCACCCCATGGGAGACCAGGAAAAGCACCTGGCTCCTGGCTCCTGCCATCGGATCAGCACGGTGCGCCGGCCGCAGCGTGCCGGCCGCGGCGGCCATTGGAGGGTGAACCAATGGCAAAGGAAGACCTCTCTCTCTGTCTCTCTCTCTCTCTTACTGTCCACTCTGCCTGTCAAAAAAAATAAAATAAAATAAAAAAATAAAAAATAAAAAAAAATTATATCACAGAAGTATTTTATTGACATAGGATATTACTCATAACATACCAAATATAAAAAAGTACCTTACAAAATAATTTTTAGGGGTGGGCTTTTGGCACAGTGGTTAAGACACCACTTGAGATGCCCCTGTGGTTATCAGAGTGTCTGGGTTCCAATCCCTGCTCTGTATCCAATTCCAGCTTCCAGCTGTTGCCCACTTGGGAGACAGCAGGGGATGGCTGAAGTACTTGGGTCCCTACCACCCATGTGAGGGAATGGGATTGAGATTCAGATTCCTGGTTTTGGCCTGGCCAAGCCCTGGCTGCTGTGGGCATTTGGTGAGTGAACCAGTGCATGGAAGATCTCTGTCTCTGTCTCTCTCTGTTTCTGTCTCTAAGAATTAAAATCACACACACACACACACACACATTATGGATAACTGCACTTGTACTAAACCTATGTTTTATTTTTTTTTATTTTATTTATTTATTTATTTATTTATTGACAGGCAGAGTGGAGAGTGAGAGAGAGAGACAGAGAGAAAGGTCTTCCTTTGCCGTTGGTTCACCCTCCAATGGCCGCCGTGGCCGGCGCACTGCGGCCGGCGCACCGCGCTGATCCGATGGCAGGAGCCAGGAGCCAGGTGCTTTTCCTGGTCTCCCATGGGGTGCAGGGCCCAAGCACCTGGGCCATCCTCCACTGCACTCCCTGGCCACAGCAGAGGGCTGGCCTGGAAGAGGGGCAACCGGGACAGAATCTGGCGCCCCAACCGGGACTAGAACCTGGTGTGCCGGCGCCGCTAGGCGGAGGATTAGCCTAGTGAGCCGCGGCGCCGGCCTAAACCTATGTTTTAAATATACGTTTATCTGGAAAACTACACAGTGAGCTATTAATGGTAGTTGCTCCTGGTGAGAGGGATTGTTTTTTATTTTCGTGTATTTGGTTCTTCTGTAATGAATACATACTGCTTTTTTATGATTGTAAAAAGACGATGTCCAGAATATGTAAACATGACAAGGCGTCTATGGGAGAGCGACCGGCCCACGGAACATTGTGCCCAAGTTCTGCTGAATATCCCACTCTGGAACGTTACCGCAGGCCCACCTCCCTCAGGGCTAGCTCTGCAACCACCTTCTCGCGCGGCCTCCTCTCCGAACATCGCGATGTAGCCTTCTCTCTCGCTGCTTCTGTCACCATAAGCTCTTCCGCTCACTCAGCCAGCCCCTTTCTCCAAGATTCCTGCTGTACTCGCACACTCCAGTCCACCTTTTAAATCTTTGTTTTCAGCTTAAAAGGCAGAGCGACTGAGGGGAAGGGAAAGAGAGAGAGAGAGAGGGAGGGAGGGAGAGAGATTTTCATCTGCTGGTTCACTCGCCAAGTGCTCCCCAACAGGCAGGACTGAGCCAGGCTGAAGCCGGAGCCTGGAACTGCACACAAGTCTCCCACGTGGTGACAGGGCCCAAGCACTTGAGCCATCGCCTGCTGCCTCTCGGGGTGTGCATTAGCAGAAAGCAGAACAGCCAGACTCCAACGTGGGAAGCAGGCATTCCAAGGCGGCTTAACTCACTACTCCACAGCACCCGCCCCTCATCCATTCCAGTCTCACTTTCACCCTTGGGCCCCTGCACCTGCATGGGAGACCCAGAGAAGCTCCTAGCCTGGCTTCAGATCAGCCCAGCTCTGGCTGTTGCAGCCATTTGGGGAATGAACCAGTAGATGGGAGACCTTTCTCTCTCTCTCTCTCTCTCTCTCTGCCTCTGCCTCTCTGTAACTCTGCCTTTCAAATAAATAAATAAATCTTAAAAAGAAGAAGAAGGGACAGTGTGTGCAGAGAAGAGAAAACTAATCGTTTTTTAGCACTTACAAACTCATGATTGGGTTTTAGGGAAGAAGTCTCCATCTGTGGAGGAACAGACGACAGGGACTGAGCCTCTGTCAGGTAGTGGTAATAAGGTCCGGATTTATTAAGCACTTACAGTATACGTCAGGTGCTCATCTAAGTGCCTTATGTGTACTAATTCTCTTACTCCTCACAGCTTATGAGATAGGAACCATTACTATCCTCATTTCACAGAGACTGGAACTGGGGCACACAGGGACTAAGCAACATGCGTAAAGTGAACCAGACATTCCGTAGAGGAGCTGGGGTCCACACTTAGCCTGAGCTGCTGGAGAGCCTGAAGCACCACATCACGAGGGGCTCTCCTCTCGGGAGGAGCTGGCCGTCTGAGAGTTGCAGTGCCTAGCAAACACCCAGAACACAGCTAAGAGGCTGAGCGTGGTCAGCCTACGAAGCAACGAACAGAAGAAAGACCCAACAATTCTGAAAAGGAATTGCCCTACCTAGTCTCAGTGCTCTCTCCCCACTTCGGATGCACTGATGCACTGATCTGCCTTGTCCTTAAATCAAGTCAATGGCACAGTGCAAGAATGCCCACACCGCCAGAGGCATACACGGAGAGTTCAGTTCTCAGCAGCAACAACTTGCAGTATGACGGTACAGTATATCAGCTTAGATATTAATATTGATTCAATCCACCCAGATTAC